TTTTTATTTCTAGGAGAGAGAGAGAGAGACAGCGTGAGCAGGGGAGGGTCAGAGAGAGAGGGAGACACAGACTCTGAAATAGGCTTCAGGCTCTGAGCTGGCAGTCAGCACAGAGCCCAACGCGGGGCTTGAACCCACGAACCGCGAGGTCATGTCCTAAGCGAAAGTCGGACGCTTAACCGACAAAGCCACCCAGGCGCCCAATCCTCCTTTCTTTTTAGAATTCTTATTACATTCAGTTTCTTTAGTGTTCTCTTTCTCCTGACATGTTTATCAAAGACAATAAATATGGACAGTAAGGAAAAAAGCCTGAAGAAATAACAGCTTTAAAAACATTAATAATTGGTTGCCTGGGTGGTTCAGTCAGTTAAGAGTATGATTCTTGGTTTTGGCTCAGGTTATGATTTCCCAGTTGGTAGGTTCAAGCCCTGAGTCGAGCTTTGCACTAACATTGTGGAGCCTGTGGGATTCTCTATCTAGCTCTCTTTGACCCACCCGTTTGCGTGCTCTCTCAAGATAAACAAACATTTAAAAAATATATAAAAACAATAATATTTTAAATCCGACACTGTCAAGGCATATGAAATATGATGCTATTCAGAGGCAAACTTTTCATGCCTGCTAATTCAGGACTATACGAACTTGAGGTTGGGCTGTATATCAAGGAATTCACAAAGGAATAAGATAGCATTAGGAATAAAGAAAAATTCTCTCATCTGGGGGCAGGAAAACAACTTTAAGAAAGTCAACTGTGGAAACATCATATTAAATATTTTATTTAATATGATGATATATGATAATATATGATGATAGAAGCAGAGACTTGGAGAAGCTTAAGAGTAACCCTGTCTAGAGGCAGGAGAAAAGGAAAGTTTCCCATCAGATTTCCTGGGTCCATTTCAATTTTATAGTACTTTCAAAAAAAGTAGTTAGGAAAAAGTATTATGAAGTGTGACTTGATGGTTTTTTCTCCGCAGTACTTTTCTGGCAAAATGAGAATGCCCCCCATGACACTTGGTTGGCTCTACTGGACACAAATACCTGAAATGCTTCTTCATACATGCTGAGTGCCCTGGAAATGGAGGCTGTTGGTGGAAGCAAATACCAAAGATGGACAGCCAGGGAGCGTTTCCAGTCCAGCTGTGAGCACACATTGATTTGCCTCTCCTCTGAGACCTGCCATACCTGCAGGAAACAAAATCATTATCACAGCTATATGTTATACATTATCTTCTTACTCAGATCTGCAAGTCACTCACTTATTCCAGTAGCATTTTATTTTTTTAAAGTAATCTTTATGACCAGTGTGGGGCTCAAACTCACCACCCCAAGATCAAGAGTTACATGCTTTACCAAAATGGACCAGCCAGCACTCCTATTTAAGTAACATTTTAAGTGAACTAGATTAGAAGTGTTAATGATCCAAATATAAAATACATAGTTCTTTGGGGGCAGGTGAGAGGGTAGATGAAGACAATTGGTGCTCTGAGAAGAGATGAAAACCACTGAGAGAGAAGAAGAGTTCTTCTCACTGCCCACAGTTGCTGTCTTATAAAATTTTAAGATGTGCATAAATTCTGACCAGCTATCTCATTTTTGGAAAGTGATATCAAGATGTCAACCAGGCAGGCAGCAAATAGAGAACTGGCTTAAAATAATTATGGTATATCATCCACAAAATGAACAGAAGTGGCTATTAAAAAGAGTGATGCTACATGCCATGAAAAAATGTCCATATACAGTAAGTATACTGCTATGTAGAATTTATTTTATTTGAATATACACACATGTGTAAATATATACACATATATGTTGACAGAGTAAAAATATGTCTGGAAAGACAGATTAAAAATTATTTATCTTGTTTACCACTATGATAAGGGATATGGTGAATTTTAGTATTTTAATTTCTATATAACCACTTGTTTAAACGTTTTTTTTTGCAATGTACATGTTGTACCTTTGTAATCTGAAAATATTTCCACTAAAATTTAAAAATAAGTTGCTTAGTTATATGTGTAACAGTGTAAAATTTACAAAGATAGCACTTTCTCTTAACCTGAAGCCATCTTGAATTTATGAAAAAATTTATGCAACGGTATGAGAAAAGAGCAAAATACCGGTTTTCCAGCCAACAAGGCAAAGATCCGCAGTCTCTCATCCTGGATGAAAGAGTTAGCCTGGAGCTGATGCCAATCCACCAGCTGCATGGTAAGCAGCTCCCGGATTGACTGGCTGCCCACCAACTGGGATAAAAGAAGGGCAAGACGATGATCACCTATAAAAGAAAGAGAAATTCTCTAGTCATAACTGAGGATTTATAGACTTGGGGAAACACTAGGTATCATCTTCTTCTAGCCCTCAGGAGGGAGAACTTTACACAGTGACTACTTTCTACAGTAGTGACAAAATACTGACCACCACCTTACCATTTTCTGCCTGGGAAGAAAATATTCAGAGTACTTTAACCTAAATTACATAAAGAGTGTACAGTATACAGAGTTCAATGATAGATCTACTATTACTTCTGTGACCCTAGATAAGGTACTTTATCTGTAAAATGGAGGAAAGTGTCATCTGATTCAAAGGCTTACAGTGAAAATGGAGATGACACAACTGAAAACATGCCCAACTAGAATGGCACTGAGAAATGGCCAACTGAAAGCTAGAGGAAAAGCATATATGTGTGGTATAAAAAGAATCACTGAGTCTTTTACGCTCACAGGTTCAATAATCTCTTTTATTAAAAAATTTTAAGTACAAAGGGCTGAGGCAATAAAAAAATTCTAATTAACCAGAATGTGAGGGGATAGAAATTCTGGTTTATGAAAACTTCCAGTTAAGGTGTAAGTTAAGAGAAAAATGCTTTGTTTCTGCCCTTCTTACAAACCTCGTAGAGTCAACAATCTTTCTTTTGTTTTTACATATAGGTCAGTGCTTACAGGTCTATATAAACTACCATTCTACCAGAAACTGAGGCTATCATATTAGAAGTTTCCTTCATAATCTAGAGGGGCCTAAAGGAAGAAAAATCACCTATCAGAAACACATCTGGAAATGTGTCAGGCCAAACGGTCTCTCCGTGTATAGGTAATCAAAGCATGACTGGACTATGATTCAGAAAGTAAGTGCTGTAGCTCACTTGACCATGAGCTGCTAGTATTCTAGGTGAGTAACACTAAAAGGAAAAAAAGAAAAGATTGTTTCTGTGTATCTACAGAATCCCAAAGAGGGGATTTACTGGCCAAGATTTATAAATATCCTGGGCCACTAAAGATGGTCAAGTTCAGAGGTGCCTGGGTGGCTCAGTTAAGTGTCCAACTTCAGCTCAGGTCATGATCTCACGGTTCATGGGTTCAGGCCCCACATCGGGCTCTGTGCTGACTGCCAGCTCAGAGCCTGGAGCCTGCTTCAGATTCTGTATCTCCCTCTCTCTCTGACCCTCCCCTGCTCATGCTGTGTCTCTCTCTCTCAGAAATAAATAAAACATTAAAAAAAAAAAGATGGTAGATCCTCTCTTTGCTTTGATCATAAAATCAACCAATCAGCTTCTGCCCATCCTTGACTTTTCACATAGACTTTCCCATTGATGAGGACACACTGAGCAAATAGTAGGACCTTAGTGTACTTCCTCAAGCTAATTTTAGTGTATGGTGTAAGGTAAGAATATAAATTAATCTTCTGCATGTGAATATCTGTCTCAGCATATCTGTTGAAAAGACCATCCTTTCCACATTTAAATAGTCTTGGCACCTTTGTCAAAAATCAACTGAATCTAAGTGGAAGGGTTTTATACTGAAGTCTCACATCAGTGATCAGTGTAGTTAAAGGTTTGTAAACTTTCTTAATCTTTTCAAGGAACTAATTTTTGGTGTTACTGATTACTGTTTTCTTTTTGTTGTTGTTGTCATTTTCATTGATTTCTGTTCTAATCTTTAGTATTTCCTTTCTTCTTCTACCTTTTGGTTTATTTCTTATTTTGCTAGTTTCTTAAAGTAGAAGCTTAGGTTATTGATTTGAGCTCTATCTTCTTATTGGGTAGGTATCAAATAACATTGATAGTGTTCAAAAATTTTACATTCTTTATATTGTTTAGTTGTTTTATCAATTATTAAAAATGGAGGTAGTAAAGCAAAAGTTTTTACTAAGCTGAAAGGTACTGCCTTGTCAAAAGTTTAACCTTAAAGTAAGAAAAAAAAGGACGAAGAAGAGTTTACAAACAAATAAATCTAAGGACCTGACTTCTAGCAGTCCTTAGGCTCCTCTTTTGCTATACATATATGTGTTGGTAAGCATAACTTTGTTTCTTTAATGATTCCTAATTTTTTTAGCTTTATAGAAGGCCAATTCTAAACACAAATTTTCTCTGTACAAAAATATATGAAGACCACAAAGCCACTGAGCTAAACATGCAGTGACAGTGGAATGCAAATGGCCATGTATATAAGTTCTTGATTCTAGCTTTTCCTATGATTTGTTCCTTATAATCCCCAAACTGGCCAAGTCCCCCATAAAATAAATCCAGCTGATGGCTCCAATTAGTTGGTTTCATATAAGCTAGGTTTCAGTAGCAAAGTCTGATCAGAGATCTACTTATACATATATTAAACTGAACTATGCCATCCTTTATTCTTAGCAAGATTTGTGTCTGGATAGTTATTAAGTACTTGCTGAATGCCTCTCATTAGTGGAAGAGGAAAAGCAGAAATATATAATGGAAAGATCTTTAAAAAAAGCAACCAAGAAAATATCTGAACCTAAAAATTAAGTTTACATATTTACCTGAATGAAATAAAGTGAATTAATACAAAATGCATAAGTTTCAAAGGTTCAGAGTACTGTTTATTGTGGGGTAGAAAAGCCTAAATGTCAAAAAAGGAGTTCCCTAACATTTGTACATAAAAGAATACTGAGAAGCATTTGACTATAATGTCTGTATTACAGGACATGAATAGAACGCAGTGTGTGTATGTGTATAGTGTGTGTGTGTGTGTATGTGTGTGTATAGCAGCAGGATACCACCTTTGAAATGTTTACACACATATATTGCTTTGTGTAAACAAATTTTAATATACTTTATATATTACAAAGTAAACAGTCCAAATACAAGCTGTACACTGAAATGTCTGCTAAATGCTAAAGGATGCAGGTGATTTGGATTTATTGTTTTTTATCTGCAAAAGCATTTGTAGCATACAAAATTTATTTTAGTAAAGTAAACATAGGGGCGCCTGGGTGGCTCAGTCGGTTGAGCATCTGACTTCAGCTCAGGTCATGATCTCACAGTTCGTGGGTTCGGGCCCCAACCCACGTTGGGCTCTGTGCTGAAAGCTTGCTCAGAGCCTGGAGCCTGCTTCAGATTCTTTGTCTCCTTCTCTCTCTGTCCCTCCCCCATTCAAGCTCTCTCTCTATCAATAATAAATAAATGTAAAAAAATTTTTTAAAAAAGTAAACTTAATGTTTAAGGCTCTATATAGAAAACTTGAAAATACAGTCCTTATTCTTGAGGAACCAGCAATATTCCTGGGAAGTTTATACTTAATTCAGGTTAGGAGACATAGGCAATCTACAATTAAGGGGTAGAAACAGTGAACAGCACACAGACAGAGGTGCAGAGAAGGACCCTATGCCCTACCTGACTGCTGGGCCAGAGAGCAGGCCTCACTGATTCTCTTGCCCGTGAGGTAGCTGAAGACAGCCTCCACAGGCTTGTCTTTTCGGGTTAAGGAGACTTCCTCCTCAATTTGAGGTGCTGCAGTATAGGACAGCCAGCGAGAGAAAGTTCTTCTTCGCTCCAGAATCTGAATGTATTCATTGGACTCATCCAACTGGCTGTCAGTCTCCTTCAGGTGGCCCCATAAGGCTTCACATAATGTCCATGCTAGGCTCCAGTGCTTCACAACTAAAGAAGAGAAAGGAAAATAATGCTATGACATGAAGTCAAAGTAACTACAGAGAGGACATCACTCTAATTGTATCATAAAAATACACAAATTAATAAATATCCCAAACAACCACTTAAGTTGATTTCCCTGAATCTGTTTCTGGCTCACTTTGCTATGTCATACAAGTCCCACAGGTTTGTAGTATAACTGCTTGTTCACTTCATGTTCCTGTGGAGTTCCTTGTTCTAACATATGTAACTCTATGCTCCATTAAAATGGTTCTTCTAGCTGAATCATGGCTAATATAATCTCAAATGACAAAGTCCTCTAACTTGATTAAATTCTGTTTACAAAATGTTTTAAGAAATATGAAGTGCTGGGGCGCCTGGGTGGCTCAGTCGGTTCTGGCTCTTGATTTCAGCTCAGGTCATGATCCCAGAGTTGTGGGATCAGGCCCGTATCAGGCTCTGGATTGAGCATGGCGCCTGCTTGAGATTCTCATTCTTTCTCTCTCTCTCCCTCTCTCCTTTCTTCCCTCTGTCCCACTCCCCAACTTGTGCACACTCTTTCTCTCTCTCTCTATATATATATAATAAAGAAAACTTTTTTTATTAAAAAAAATACGAAGAGCTCTAAAAACTTGTGAGAGAGTATTCTCTCCTGCAATAGGTAAAACCTAACATTTACTGAGCCTAAATGATACTATTCAGAGCACTTAAGAGTAAAGCCAACTCTAAACTTCACCATGTACAGTAGTTATCTTCATTTTACAGATGAGAACTGAAGTAACTTGCTCAGTCATAGGCAAAATGTAGTAGAGCCCAGATTTGAACCCAAGTAATAAGTCCAGCGCTATATTCTTAACTACTATTCATATTGCTTCTCAAGAAGGAAAACAAGACGGAAGCACTATTTACCACTAAGCCAAATACAAGTATGCACTGGGAAGATGTCTCACATGTTTGAAAAGAAGATGAGACAATTGAAGCAAACACAAAGAAGTGATTCTAAAATAGGTGCCATTTTTCAATAATGTTGAAATGTTATCAAACATGTAATTAAGTATAATTTTTCTACCATTTGAAAGAGTAAGTTCCCAAATTAGAAAAGCCCGTTATCAAAGTATAGGTTTAGAAAACTATGCTCACAATAGTTATAGAAAAGTAAGAGAGGTTAGGAAGGGAATTATGAATACTTAAATTGTTGGGAAGACCAAAAGGGACTTAAGCTGGATATGGAAGAATGAGTAGGATTTAGAAAAGCAATGAGGGGCACCTGATGGCTCAATTAAGTGTCTACCTCTTGATCTCAGCTCAGGTCATGATCTTGTGATTCGCGGGGTCGAGCTGCACGTCAGGCTCTGTGCTGGCAATGTGGAAGCCTGCTTGGGATTCTCTCTCCTTGCCCCTCCCCTGCTGGCACACACACACTCTCTCTCTCTCTCTCAAAATAAACAAATACACTTAAAAAAAAGAATGAAAAAAAAGAAGGAATGGCTTTTTCTCCCTATGTTCTCTGAGTAGATAAAGGAATGCAATTTCAAAAATCCAAGGAATCTGGCTACAATTCCCGTGAACAAGGACTTGTATATTAAAAGGCATAAGAGTAACTGTAAAAAATGTTATCATTTCTTCTTCCTTGGGATTTTGCTCTTTGCAACTCACTACAGACAAGTGCAAGCTCAGGCATCCGCCCACTACACTGGCATAAGGAAATCTGACCTCCTGTGAATACATGCTCCTACTCCAATTCGTGAAATATCAGAGGTTAGACATAGTCCATACTCACTCTGTGCTTCCAAAAAGTCTCCTGATGCTTTCTTAACCCAATTTGCATAGTCATGAATGACAGCAACTCCTGGATTAGGGACAATAAGAGGACACAGCTCATCTACATGGACAGTGCTGTGCTTTAATTTGAGCTCCAGAGGTATCTGGTATAACTGCAGGTCTTCATCTGGCTTTTGTCTCAAACTGAGTTTTTCCAAATGAACTTTGAATGGAGACTCCGTTAGGCTACAAGAGCAAATAACAAACAAGACAGAAAACGAAGATAAGACAGATGCTAGAATTTTGCTATAAATAAACCTTTATTTTTATGATTCAAAAAGAATGCAAAACATTCCCCTGTGATTTTAAAGAAATTATGTTCCCTAATGTCAAACTATAATGAACTTATTTGCTGTAGAATGAATAAACAAATTATCTGGCCCATGCATTCAGAATCCCAAGGCTTCTTAAGGCCAGATTATAACAAGCATGGGAATCAATGCTGTTCGACTTTGAAATGGCTTCAACATTTATCTAGATATTATGAAATCCAAGGGCCAAAGACCACTATTGGGATACTGATATCTCAAATTACACTTGGTGAGGTATCAGAAGTTATAGTGAGGCTAAAGTTATAGAAACTGTAGAAGTGACTCTAAATTAAGACAAGCATATAATTAATCTCATCTTGATCCAATTTTAAGAATGAAAGCAACAACTTTCAAAACATGACATCATATATAACCTAGATTTAGGATCAACATTACTAATTGTGAGGTTTAAGAGATGCTGCGGTTTTGTATTTCTTCAAAGTTAACTTTAAATACAAAACATAATAGGTAATCACAGTCATTTAATTTATAGTAAATACAGCACAATTTGTTATAAAGAGTAAACAGAAAAACGTTACATATTTTGCCCAAAACAACACTATGCATACTGGTTAATAACTACCAGAACTATGTATGTGTATGTATATGTGTATGTGTGTGTTTGCATACATGTGTACACACACATATATATAAATATATAACCTATATATATACTCATATACATATATAAAGTATATAGAACTATATGTACACATACATAAACATTAATGGGGAGATTATGTAGTAATAATATAGCATACATAGCTACCAGATGTCATCTTTTTTTTAAGTGCACTTTATGCCCAATGAAGGACTTGAACTCATGAAGCCATCATCAAGAGTTGTATTCTCTACAGACCAAGCCAGTCAGGTGCCCCTATCAAATGTCATCTTATTTCCAAATACCTATGCATGGATTATACTCAGTTTATATATTCATCTTATCAGGTCCAAGATACAGGAAATGTGCTTAGTTGAGAAAATACTTTACATATGAAAAAAAAAATCACAAATATCTAAGTGAGAAAATAGGAAAAAAATGACTAATGCAATAAAAAGAATGAAAATCCAAGGAATGCTGCAGCATCAGCTTTGGGTCTATTACATTTCCGATTAAAGTTTAACCACTAAGTATTATACTCTTCATACCTTGGTGGTACAAGTAGAGTTACCTTATTAATTGGCTTGGCTTCTAATTATACAAAGATCTTGTGCTATCTAAAACTGTACTAAGAACAAGGGTGCCTGGGTGGCTCAGTCAGTTGAGTGTCCAACTTTGGCTCAGGTCATGATCTCATGGTTTGTGAGTTCGAACCCTGCATCGGGCTTACTGCTGTCAGCAGCTTTGGATCCTCTGTCCCCTTTCTCTCTACCCTTACCTCACTTGTGCTCTCTCAAAAATAAACAAACATTAAAAAAAAAATAAATTTAAAGAAAATTGGACTAAGAACATATCTAGAAAGATCACAAAGCGAGGCCTTGACCTTGGGTCTTCTGATAATGAAATTTTTTTTTCTCATCTACCAAGTTGGTTTTCTCAAAAAGCATAAAGAAAATGTGACTTACGATTTAACAGCTACTGGATTAGGCAGGAATCCATATTCCATAGAATCGGCATTCTGATGATTTTCCAGTTCACGTGAACCACTCAGCTGATCTCCGCTATTAGCAAGAGTCCAGTTGGGGCCCCAACCAACTCGAAATGAGCGTCCCATAAAAAGGGCCATGTCCATCAAGAGTTTCCCCTTGCCATAGGTGACAGACTTTTCAAGAGCGACAAGGCCTGGTTGTCTACGTGTACCCACGGTTTTCAACTGAACCTCCGGGGCTGGGCTGGGCACTGTAAATACAGAGGTGAGGGGTGGAGGGACAGACCAAGGGCACGTGGATGGGATATTCATCAAAGATGATGCTCTGGGGGTGCGACATTCTTGTACAGAGGCACTTGGTGAAAGAAAAGCTCCACTAGTGAACTTTGATTGTAGTAACCCACCAACTGAAATAGGGGGGAAAAAAGACTATTAGAAAATACAGTTTCTATTGCTTCTTAAACAGCAATTATCAGTGAGGATGAAATTAGTTTTACCAAACCAATGAAATTAGATATAGATGATGAGAAGCAAGTCATAATCTGTGGAATACTGTTTCACCAGGAAACCAAGGCAGGAATTTGTGATGATGATGCCACAATATTAACATTAATAACAAACACTACCACTACTATTTAAAAAAAATTATTTAACTCTTATTTGTGAAAGATACTGTATAAGCCATTTGTATACATGGTTTCATTTCACCTTTCAAAAACTTCATACAAACAATACTATTAGCTCTATTTTATAGGAAGGAAAACTGGGCTCTGAAAAGTGATTAGTCCAAATGCACAAAGCTACTAATGGCAGGATTGATAGACAAGCACAGGGAAGTCTGACATCAATACTCATGCCCTTATGCCAAATGTAAACATTTCTTAGTCCACTCTAAAGCTCATGGCTAGACTTCATGAAACAAAAACCCACAGAGGCACCTTGTGCTTTTCTGAGGACAGTTCTTATTACTATTGTCTGTTTTCTAATTTTATATGATCCCTGCCTAAAGCAAAGAGGTAGTTATTGAAGTATGAGATTTTCATGTAATGCCCATTATAGAAAAGGTTGTTATGTTTAACTGACGCTTTATTGTTTAGATATTTCTTAAATGGGTTAATAAGGGCACTTGAAAGAATTGAAAACTAAAGTTTTTAAGGCAATATAAAAAAAAATCTCTTCCTAGTAGTTCCTCTGGCCTTTAAAATGTTTTGAGATTACATGTGCTTAAGTCCTTTGTTGATATCAGTACCTTCCAATCCCACATAGTTATATGCCCACAGGAAGAAAAAAGGGAAAGCCTTAAAATCAAATATCACTTCCCTAGGAATTTGGGGAGCTTTAGGAAAAAGTAGAAATCTGACAAGTTTTGTGCATTGTAAGAAGCAACATTTGACCCCGCAAGGCAATAAAATAAGGATAGTATGAAGACTGTACAAAATTGTACAGTGCAGGACAACTTGCTCATTCCTCTAAGGAGTGATAAAAATTAGGAAATCTGAACTTACTATCTAGTTCACATTTATAATTAAATAAAAACATAAACCTAAACAAAATACAAATGCTTTGTTCTCCATATAACTTCTACATCTACAACAATAAAGCATATTATGGTTTTTAAAAACTGGGCCCACCTAACATCTTTAGAAGAGTACATTTCCTCTTGGCATCCTTATATCATATGCTTTAGGGGGATATTTGCTAGAAAAGTTGACTCAACTTAGAAGAAAATACGTGAAAAGCAGGACTTTACAGCTTTCTTGTAAAATAGCATCATTTACAGTACCTAAAGAACGGGATTTTGACGAGTGGGATGCTGAAATGGGGAGTCTGGGAGAACAGATTTCTTGAGAAGTATCTGTTTTAGAAGGAAGGTGACTGAAGCGTTGATCCATGACCGTATCTACATCTTCTTCATCAGCAAGCAATGATGCTTTCATGATCTAAAAAGGCAATATCTACAGAATGAATGTGTTCCCCAAAATCCAAAGGCCATAAAAGAAAAATGCAGTTTACAACAATCAATAAATTGCTCTGCCTGAAGGCTGTGTCCAGAGCTACTATAATATCTGTGTGGCTGCATGTGCCTGAGGGACAGAAGTTATAGAATACTCCTCTTTGTATCTAGAAAGTCTGTACCAAAGTCTGGTACACAGTAATTGCACACCTGTTTGCAGAATGATTAATTTTGAACATAAGACAAAGGCTAAACTTCTAACATGCCAAAAGGTTTATGCAAGGGGAAGTTGAGGCAGAGTATAAAGAAAAATGTTATCAACTAGACTATTAAAAAAACTTTTATGGAGCACTTTTGAGAGCTTTAAAAATACCCTACAGAGAAAAATCTGTGCTCTTAGGTGTTAAATGACTTGCCTAAAGTCACATAGTAATAGTTATAAAACTCGGATTAGAATCCAGGTCTTCTGAATCTCAATACAGCCTTCCCTCCCAGAATGGAAAAATAAGGCCCAAATGTCAGCCATATTCTGTATTTTCTTCATTCTAATGGCCACTCAATGTTCTTCAGTAAATAATCAAGGAAGAGGCCCCATGTGGTGCAAGATGAGATAAACATTAGTTTGGCTTCCTGTTGTAGTAAGAGTGGGTTAGGACTTCACCTGTAAGACATGTGGATTAATTCCCAGTGAAGATGCAATGTGTGTTGAGGCAGACACAGGTTCCTGATCCTCAGGCATGCTTTCTTCTAACATGGAATCCAAAACTGGCTCCTGGGTGATATCTACCATGTCACTGTCCAGTTCCACAACCCTCCCTAACTGCTCCACCTCTGGGCTCTGGCTCTGTAGACAGCAGAAAGATCAGGGAAGCAGCATTAAATTATACCAAATAGACATAGGCTTCTAGACCATAGTTATTCAGAATACGATATCGTAATAATAGATTCTGTCCATTCTATGACAATGTGAGATAGCATATTTGCTAAAAAGGATTTACCAATAAATAATCCACACCACAGGGTCTGGGTGGCTTAGTCAGTTAAGCATCTGACTTCAGCTCAGGTCATTCAGCTCAGGTTTTAAGAGTTCAAGCCTTGTGGTGGGCTCTGTGCTGACAGCTCAGGTTGGAGTTTGCTTCAGATTCTATATCTCCCTCTCTCTCTGTCCCTTCCTTGCTCACACTGTGTCTTGCACTCTCTCAAAAATAAACAAACATTAATTTTTTTTTTAAATGTTTTTATTTATTTCTAGGAGAGAGAGAGAGACAGTGCGAGCAGGGGAGGGTCAGAGAGAGAGGGAATCACAGACTGAAACAGGCTCCAGGCTCTGAGCTGGCAGTCAGCACAGAGCCCGACGCGGGGCTCGAGCCCACGAACCGCGAGGTCATGACCTAAGCGAAAGTCGGACGCCCAACCGACTAAGCCACCCAGGCGCCCCTTTTTTTTTTTTTAAGTAAATAAAGTAGGGTCCACACCCAACTCAGGGCTTGAACTCACGACCCTGAGATCAAGAGTTGCATGCTCTACTAACTGAGCCAACCAAGTAGCCTCTTAGAAACAATTTTAATTTAGGAATAATTCCTTTATGTTCAAGTGCCAAGAGCTATATTTACATTTATTAAGCAGTTTTCAAGATATACCCATGAGTAACAGTTTATGATATGAAACAGTTTATGATTTGAAAAGGTAATAACTCATCAACCTGAAGCACCTGTAAAACAACTCAGTACAAATTAAGTATGTCCTGAACTTGTATATTACCTGGTAAAATGGTGACAAGTGGCTAAGCCAATTTATGAAACATTCCCAAAAAGTTTTACCACTTATTTTTTTATCATAGTATCATTTATAGATCATTAATCTTCCAAAATTTTGGGCTTATCTTCCTTAGTTCCCTATTTCATGCTAACTCTCAAATAAATACTAATGTATAACAGGTAGTTTTAAAAAATAATTTCGGGGCACCTGGGTGGCTCAGTCAGTTAAGTGTCCGACTTCGGCTCAGGTCATGATCTCACAGTTTTTGAGTTTGAGCCCAGCATCGGGCTCTGTGCTGACAGCTCAGAGCTTGGAGTCTGCTTCGGATTCTGGGTCTCCCTCTCTCTCTGCCCCTGCCCTGCTAGTGCTCTGTCTCTCACTGTCTGTCATAAATAAATGTTAAAAAAAATTATTTTTAAATAATTTCATGGGCGCTTGGGTAGCTCAGTTGGTTGAGCATCTGATTCTTAATTTCGGCATGGGTCATGATCTCACGGTTCATGGGACTGAGCCCCATGTCAGGTTCTATGCTGGCAGTACAGAGCCTGCTTTGGATTTTCTCTCCCTGTCTCTGCTCCTCCCCTGCTCACGTTCTCTCTCAATATAAATAAACACACAAAAATAAATAATTTCATGATTACTTTGAACAAAGAAATAACCATTAGTGTAATTTTTTCAACTTTATTTTTAATGGTCTATTAGCTATTACTTCCTTGCATTCATTTAACAAATATCCTTACTAAAAGAAAGACTGCTCTCATTTATACCTGTAGAAAAACTAAACTGTTGGATACATAGTGAATTACAACTGACGGCATGAACAATCCCAAAGGACTGCTCTAAGAAAACTAGATAATGGTGAAAGGCAAAAATCATACTTTTTTTTTACCTAATATAAAGGCTAACGGCAGGTGTGACTACCTTTATGCTTTATAATTCTGGAAAAAAAATAAAATAAAAAGTAGCTCTGGTCATGATGCTCCCATTTTATTTACAAGAATTATGGGAATACTCTAACTACAAAGGCTCCCTAGTACGTTAGAGTTTTTAACCAATTAACTTTTAGGAAGCTATTAAACTACTCCACATCCTGTGTGTCAAACTATCAGAATACCCCCCCACCCCGTTGGGTTCCCATTACATTCTGTCTAAACCTGTTTTTTATGATCTATCATGATACATCATAAATTCTTACTATGTGGTGTTTATTTGTCTCAACACATTGTCAAGGCTTGAAAACAGAGATTATGGCCTACTGTTTTCTGTATCTATCACCAAGCACACTGTTAAATTCAACATTCATTTTTTTTTTTTTTTTTTTTTAATCAATTCTATTGCCTAGTATAGTGCCTGGCACACAACAGAAAAGGCAATTAATAACTGTGAAAGAACAAGAAGTGAGGATGGGTAGGAGGTACGGAAAAAAGGAGAGAATGTTTCAACTTACACTACTCAACAAAGAAATAACAGCAGCAAGAGATTTTCATTTAAAAAACTTTAAGGCAAAATGAAAGGATTTCATCAAGCAACTTGATTAGAGACCTAAGGGACCCAGCAAATTTTTCCTAAGTATGCCAAGTATGGATCAAGGTTCTATTCGCTCTACCCTCACACACAGACTTTACAGCTCTGAGTGAGGTATTGTGTAATAAATAGATAAGGGGGAAGTGAATTATTATGAAACTCTGAGGAGCTGGGAAGCTCCTAGAACCCCCATTAGTGAATTTTGCTGAAGTATATCTAAGCAACTGAGGTAAACTCCCTCAAAAGATGCCTGTGTATTTATTTTCTGATAAATATTACTTCTTCAAATCCAGTCCTGGAAAGAAAAGTAGACTAATAATAATTATAATGATTATAATAATAATAAAGATGGTTCAGAAGGAATCCAGGAAGTTAAAAAAAAAAAAAAAAAACACACAAGTCCTGTGAGATCTATGGAAAAGAAAGGTAAATACTGAGAAAAGCAGCCAAATGGAATATTCCTTTCATATACTGTAATCTCTTGAAAGTAGATCTTATTTATGTCTAAATACCACCACAGTACATTATAAATCCTAAGTGTACAGATTAGTTCTGTAAAATGAGTCTCTTTAGATACATGGAAGGTGAGAGTTCATGACTGAAACCTTCAAGGATTTTAGAAACCTTCACTTTCCACTTCAAGAGTATCTTTCTCATACAAACAAAGCTGCCAATACCCTAAAGATAAGCATGTCTTAATCCAGTAGATAATTTAACTAGGTAAAGTAAATCATGATACCTTTTATTCAGCAAAGGGTAAACAACCAATCCATGGTCAAACAGGTATTTAAATAATTCATACTGTCCTTTCCACCAAATAGTTTAATATAGTATACCTATTACCATCGCCAGCTTCCAAAATAACTTTAAAAAAATTTTCTTAATGTTTGATCATGAGATCAAGCCCAGCATTGGGCTCTGTGCTGAGCGTGGAGCCTACTTAAGATTCTCTCCATCCCTCTCCCTTTACCCCTTCCCCACATGGCACATGGGCACTCTCTCTCCCAAAATAAGTTGACTGACTTTTAAAAGTATACACAAGATGAAATGGTATTTTCTTCTAAATCCTAAACACTTTTTCCCTAAAAAAAAAAAATTCCTAACTCATTTGAATGTACTCACTGAGTGAACAATGCTAAGTTTCTGAGCAAGTCAACTAGTCTCTCTGCATACTGAACACAAGTTACAGTTCAGTAGGAGGCTAAGGTCAAAAGCTATAGGTAAAATCTATCTCCTTGAATGCTATCTGAGGTCTTTAAACAAACGGGTCTGAAGCCTGGCTGCATATTTCAATCACCTGGGGGAAAGCATTTAAAATATAAATCTACCTGAGTGCCATGCTGTATCTTTGGAATCAAAGGTCACCAATGTTGTGATGCAGTCACCTGAAAACTAAATCTCAGATCAGCATTTTCAAAATAATGTTCTAACTAACAAATGTTTCTGCAACTGTCCTAAATAATCTGTGTGATAAGGTTTTCCTGCCAACATTTTCAAGGCAAAGAAGAAAAGATTACATGAAGATTTAGTTACCTTAATATTTTCTTGTTGCTTTGATTTACCTCTTTAGGAGAAAATCAAAGCTTAAGAACAAACAACAAAGACACGAGTGAAGATGTTATATAAAAGGCAGTGGAATAAACTGACCATTAAACAAAAATGTAAATCTTGGTAATACCTAAAAAAAACCCCAACCCCCAACCCTACAAACCTGAGATTGTGCACAGGGAAAAAAACTGTGACGGCAGACTGAAGGAACACCGTGTCCCTGAAATCAAGCAGCCAGGGGGCCAGGTGACAGTGGGTAGAGAATTATCTTGACATTACTACGAAAAGACTGTGAGGTTTGTTCCCAGTTCGTTCAGGTGACTCAAGTGTTTTCCTCATGTCCAGTAAGATGTAGGTCTTTGGTGCAAATGGCTAAAAGCTATGCAACCACTACCGTTTCCTAGATACCTCACCAGGCAATACGAAGGAAGTCCTTCATTACTGTATTACTGTTCTGTTAGCCTAATATCTAAACAGCTCTACCCACTTCTCCCATTTATGCTTTCACCATCCAAAGACCACCCATTTCTCTTCAATCAAAGGAGATCTCTGAAAAAGATCCCATTCACTGTATTCTCTTTGCCCATTTTGATCCTTACCAGGTCTCTTTTTCCTACAACCTGGTTCTTAGGAAATTATCTGGTGCTCAGTTTCTTAAAGAATTCTCACCTATGCCAAGTGTTATCATAGAAGTGCATAGTTTCTCTTACTATTTGTATTCTGGAAATTAAACAGACTAAAAACCACGGTTATCAAGATATGTTATATAGATTTGCTCTAACCACAGATGAAGCTTTTCTTTCTCAGCTGCATCTTTAGGATCTTAACAATTACTTTTATTAGCAGAAAAGAAGGCTATCTGACTCTTATCCTAAGAAATACATATAAGATGAAAAAATACTTTGGAAAGAAAGGGATTATACAAAGCATATGATTCAGAAAAAAATGAACGTGGAAAACTGGAAAACCAAGTCCATTTACAGCATTTCTTTAGTTCAGAAGAGATTTCTTAGCGGTTTTATGCTACAAAGATTATGAACATAAAAGTCAGTATATTTCCCATTTCCAACTTGTATCACACCCTCCCTCTCACCTTGTACGCGCAAATCTGAACATACATACACAACAATCTCCAGAAATGCCTCCCAAGAAATTATTTAATAAATCATAAAAATCGCACATTTCAGCAGCCATAAGAATTGTAGCACAAAAAATTCCAAAGGCCCTGCTTTTAGCAGCTGAGAGGTAGAGGATGCTTTACAAAGAAATTCTATATTAATTTCTCTCTTTTGAGGGAGTATGGCGGCAAAGAAAAAATTGTTTTGTAACTTGATTGAATATAAATGACATCCAAAGTAAAGTAAAACTCTTCATGAGCTGGCAAAGAAACTACCTGATATTTAAATTACAAACCTTTCCTAGACGGACAAAATGTTTATATTGGCTTAACAATACTGAAAAAGAGTATGATACAAATAATTGCAATAAACAATGTAGCCCCTACTCTCACCACGCCAAATAATTCATTTATACTCTAAAACTTGATCTATTTTCAGAAAAATTATATATTGTTAAAATACAAATATCAAGAGGTTACCTGAATATAAGCAAACAACTTGAGAAAAATGGAGTTAAAAAACCCTTGCAGAAAGCGAGTTGAGCTTTTAAAAAACCACGGAGGTAAAAAACAAGATTTAAACTGCACATGAGATAGTCAACAAAAGTAGAATTTACTTTTTATCAACCCACACAAGCAAAATGCTATCTTAAGTTGATCACTGAGCAGAGAATTCAGCAAGTCCAAATGAAAGAGAGGGAGGTGTTTAAGAATGGTAATCTGTAGAAGGAATGATCCAAACAGCATGAGAATTCCTTAAATCTTTCAATTAAAAAAAAGATGCCAGGACCACCTCATGCCCTCCCTTGTACTTGTCTCAACGTGACTGCCAATACATTTGTACTCTTCAAAGTTCCAGGGGTCATAAAACAGCTTTGTACTAGCTGAATGACTTGCTTTCAACTTCTGTATCACGGATTCCTTTCAAATTCACTGTCCTGTCTCTACCTGGGGTGGAGGTGCTGGCTTGCCATTAAGAGCCATCTGGAATGGGATGGCCTGGCCCGCAGGAGGCAAAGGGGCAGTCTTCAACTTCTTTGTACTAGTTTTGGATGGTCGTTCCTCCTCTTCTTCATCAGAATCCTGAAGGCCATACTTAGAAAAATGGGAGACCTAAGGAAGAGAAGAATTCAACAAAATCAGAAAAATGTTTTAAAGATTTTAAAGTAATCTCTATACCCAATGTGGGGCCCAAACTTACAACCCCAAGATCTAGAGTCACATGCTCTAGTGACTGAGCCAACCAAGCGCCTCAGTATCCAACAAAATCAATTTTAACACTTAAATTCCTAAGAGCTTCCACAATATTCATCCTTGCAATCTTGCAGAATTCACTTAAAAATTGATATCAAAATATTTAAGGCATAATGAAATGTCATTATACTTTCCTGCTGTCCCTAGATTTAGGTGATTAGTACATGTACTAGTTGCTCTATACAATTACTAAATTATTAATACAGGAAACCAAATCCAGAAACACTGTTGCTATTTTCATATCTATATGCTGCCTAGTTGTTCACTACCTACACGAGGACCTTCAACTAGTTAAATAACCAAACTGGCCCAGAAGAAAAAGTAACCACTGGTTTAAACTATCAAGGAAGGGAGGAAGTCAATGTCTTCATCCCCAGAAATCTTTAAATGAATGACAATTCAGAAAGAGTTGATATCAAGAGGCAAAAATTCTGCCTCATGTCTCTAATGATGTGTCCTTAGAAAAACCACTCCTTAGAAGGATATTTAAATGCTCATAAGATGGGGTAGAGCACGTGAATTATGAACATAAAAGTTTTTAATGGCTCCTTATTGTTCTGAGGTTTAACTAAGACATATAATTTAGATCAAATCATGATGCACCTCTACATCTGTTTCATAATGTGTAAAAATAAGAAGAATTTAAGAGAGACTCTCTTCTAACACGTTTTGTTACTATAACCACAGTTTACAGAAACTAGGTTAAGTTGACTATATACCTTAAATACCCAAGAACCTGTTTCGGGACGGTACTCTTTGAATTGAGCTCCCTGTTTCCTTGAAACTGCTTCCAATCTGCCCTCATAGTTCATATCAGCAAGTCGATCTGGGCTCTTTATTAAACAACGAGATGTTTTATCTGTTGGCCAAACTCCATCCAGTGTAACTTCGGCCTTCCTGTAATGTACAACCAAGTAAAGTGTAAATGTTCATACTTAAGACCAGAAAGCCAAGCAGCATCTATATAAAGGTACCTGTGTTACTCTGGAATTATTCTATAGGTGTTACATAAACTTGAGTCTTGCCTCCTGGGGTAGATAAGCTTAAAAGCAAAGAATCACTCCCACATCAAGTAACGCAATATCTGGTTCAAGAGTCAAACTCCATTTACTTTAAACTACCATGACACATCAATTATTTCCAATAAAATTTTAATTGACACTTAAGCTATGCATCCTTGATCAAATTCAGTGCTAACAGTCCAGATCTAGGACTGAAGTCTTGGTGAAGGTCTTCAAGTGTTATTGTACTTAACATTAATAACAGCAGCAACTACTACTGATTAACAAATGAACAAATGCTTCCAGAATGAGGTATCAGGAATACCATAATATTAACCATTAAATAATGAGTGTGAAGAGGACTCGAATTGCATTATGGTACACCTTCTAATACCAATATGTGAGATCAAGGACTGTGTTCTATTCATTCTGTATGACTTACACCTAGTACAGTGACGAAGTAAATAATAGATGACTTAAAGAAAAAACTTTTATTAAGTAACCTCTTACACCCAAAGTGGGGCTTGAATTTACAACCCCACGATCAAGAGTCACATGTTCCAACAACTAAGCCAGACAGGTGCCCCCAAATCACTTTATTTTTAATAGAGTATAAATAATCGCAATATTTAATAGATGACTTTTTAAAACATTATTCTTTTTAGTGAGAAAAAAGACATAACACAACATTTACATCTTAAAAAAGAAATTTACCACCTCAATCCTTTCTAACTATACCATTCAGTAGTGTTAAGTATATCCACACTGTTGTGCAACCAATCTCCAAAACTTATTCATCTTTCACAAATAAAACTTCACTTAAAAAAACAACAACTCCCCTACCTCCACCCACTGGCAACGACTATTCTACTGTTTGTTTCTATGAATCTGACTTTGTAGATGGTCTTAAATAAGTGGAATCATACAATATTTGATGTTTCATGACCAGTTTATTTAGGTCCTCAAAGTTTATCCATGCTTTAGGATATGTCAGAACTTTCTTCCTTTGTAATGCTACATAATATTCCATTGTGTGTAAAAATATTTTATCTGTTCATCTGTCTATGGATATTTGGGTTGCTTCTACCTCTTTGCTATTATGAATAGTGTTAAGAACACAGGTGTGTAATCACCCATGGGTGTGAGATCCTGCTATCAATTCATCTGGATATATACCCAGAATATATCTACGTCTATATCTATATCCATCTATATATCTACACACCCAAGTGTATAGATATATATCTACACACCCACATGTACAGATATATATCTACATAGATAAACACACACACATATATATACACATGTATATATGTACATTGCTTTCAATTCTTTAGGAATTGATGGATTATTTTTAATTTTGAGGAATTACCATACTCATTTCCATAGTAAGTGCACAATTTTACATTCTCACCAAGATATACAAAGGTTCCGATTTCTCCATATCCTTGCAACTTGTCTCTTTTTTTAAACTTAGTAACCATCTGGATCAGTATGATTGCTCACTGTGGTTCTGATTTGCATTTCCCTAATTATTAGAGATGTTGATTACCTTTTCATATGTTAGTTGGCCATCTGTATATTATCTCTGGAGGCATGTCTACTGAAGTCCTTTGCCCATTTAAAATTTTTTTTGGTATTTTTGTTGTTGTTGAGCTGTAGTTCTTCGTATTAACCACTTACCAGAAATGTGATTTGTAAACATTTGCTCCCATTCTGCAGGCTGGCTTTTCATTCTGTTGCACGTGTTCATAGATGTACAGGATTCTTATATTTTAATGTAGTCTAATTTGTTCATTTTCACTACTGTTGCCTGTGCTTTTAGTGTTGTATTCAGGAAATCCTTGTCAAAATATAATGATGTGGGAAAAAGAAGGTCGCAGGGGACGGACCTGGGTGGCTCAGTTGGTTAACTGTCCAACTCTTGATTTCAGTCAGCTCAGGTCATGATTTCATCGTTAGTGAGTTTGAGGCACACATCAGGCTCTGTGCTAGGAGCAAAGAGCCTGCTTAGGATTTTCCATCTCCCTTTCTCTCTGCCCCTCCCCCCATTCCTTCTCTCTCAAAAATAAACAAACATTAAAAACAAAATAAAAGAAAAATGTCTCTTCAACAAATGGCATTGGGAAAACTGGACAGGAATATGCTAAAGAATAAAACTGGACCACTTTCTTACCTCATATACAAAACTAAATTCACAATGGATTAAAGACCTAAATCTGAGGCCTGAAACCATAAAAATCCTAGAAGAGAACACAGGTAGTTAACTTCTTTAACATCAGTCGTAGCAGCTTCTTTCTAGATATGTCTCCAGAGGCAAGAGAGACAAAATAAAAAATAAACTATTGAGACTATATTAAAAAAAAAATTTTTTAATGCTTTATTTATTTCTGAGAGAGAGAGAGAGTGTGAGAAGGGGAGGGTCAGAGAGAGAAGGAGACACAGAATCTGAAGCAGGCTCCAGGCTCTGAACTAGCTGTCAGCAGAGACTGACATTGGGCTCGAACCCACGAACCATGAGATCATGACCGGAGCCGAAGTCGGATGCTTAACCGACTGAGCCACCCAGGTGCCCCTGGAGAATTTTTTAAAATAAAAAAAACTTCTACACAATGAAGGAAACAGTCAACAAAACCAAAAGGCAACCTACAGAATGGGAGAAGATACTTGCAAAGGACATATCTGATAAAGGGCTAGTATCCAAAATACACAAAGAACTTATAATACTCCATACCCAAAAAATGAATAATTTAATTAAAAATGTACAGAAGACAGGAACAGTTTTCCAAAGAAGATGTAAAGATGGCCAAAACACATAAACAGATGCTCACCCTCATTCATTATCAAGGAAATGCAAGTCAAAACTATAATGAGGTATCACTCACACCTGTCAGAATGGTTAAAATCAACAACACAAGAAACAACAGGTATTTGGTGAGGATGTGTAGAAAAATGAACCCTTTTGCACTGTTGGTGGGAATACAAACTGGTGCAGCCACTGTGGAAAACAGTATGGAGATTCCTCAAAAAGCTAAAAATAGAACTACCCTTTGATCCAGCAATTGCTCTATGAGGTATTTACCCGAAGAATTCAAAAATACTAATTCAAATGGGTACATGCACCCCAATGTTTACAGCACTATTATCAAATTATGGAAATAGTCCAAGTGTCCATCAACTGATGAATGGATAAAGTAGTACACACACACACACACACACACACACACACACACACCATGAAATATTATTCAGCCTTTAAAAAGAATGAAATCTTGCCATTTGCACCAACATGGATGGAGCTAGAGAGTATTAGGCTAAGCAAGATTACTCTGAGAAAGACAAATACCGTATGATTTCACTCATATGTGGAATTTAAGAAACAAAACAAGCAAGCAAAGAGGGGTTAAAAACAACAACAAGAGGGGCGCCTGGGTGGCTTAGTCAGTTAAGCATCCGACTTTTGCTTAGGTCATGATCTCGCGGTTCGTGGGTTCGAGCCCCGCGTCGGGCTCTGTGCTGACTGCCAGCTCAGAGCCTGGAGCCTGTTTCAGTCTGTGACTCCCTCTCTCTCTGACCCTCCCCTGCTCATGCTGTCTCTTTCTCTCTCTCCTAGAAATAAATAAAACATTTAAAAAAAATTAAAACAAACAAACAAACAAGAAAAGACACTACAGAGAACAAACTGATGGTTACCGGGGCGGGGTGGGGGGGTTGATAGATAGGTAATGGGGATTAAGGAATGCACTTGCTGTGATGGGCAGTGGGTGATGTATGGAAGTGAATACCATACTCTTGAAACTAATGTTATATTGTATGTTAACTAAAAACTCAAATAAATCACTGTGTACCTGAAACTAACATTATACTATATGTAAACTAAAAACTTAAATATATATGAGAGAGAGAGTGTCATAAAACTTCTCATATGTTCTACTTTAAGAGTTTTATAAATTTTAGGTCTTATCTTTGGTCCATTTTGAGTTTGTTTGTTTTTTTTTTTAATATGGCAGAAGAGCACAACTTGATTCTTCTGCATATAGGTTTCTCAGAATCATTTGATAAAGACATTGTTCTTTCTCCACTGAATGCTCTCAGCAGCCCTGTCAAAAATATCTACATATATGAGGTACAATGCTGCTAGCATCTGACAGGAATTCCAATCCAAGAATATGAGATAACTTCCCATTTATTCGTCGTCTTTGATTTCTTTCAGCTTTTGCTTCCCCGGTTAAGCTTGTACCTAAGTAATTTATTCTTTTTGATGGAACTGTTTTCCTTTTTTGACTGTTCATTGTTATTATTTAGAAACTCCATTGATTTTTGTATGTTAATTCTGTATCCTGCTCCCTTGCTGAATTTATAACTGTTTTTTTTTTTTTATGGAATCTAGGTTTTTCACATAAGATCATGTCATCTCTGCAAAGAGATATTTTACTTCCTCCTTTCCAATCTGGATGATGCCTTTTTTTCTTTGGAGAGAGAAAGAGAGAAAGACAGAGTGAGTATGAATATCTTAAGCAGGTTCCATGACTTGCACAGAGCCCAATACAGGGCTCGATCTCACAACTGTGAGGTCATAACCCGAGCTGAAATCAAGAGTTGGACGCTTAACTGACTGAGCCACCCAGAGCCCCCAGGACGATGCCTTGTATTTCTGTTCCTGCATAACTGCTCTGACTAGGGCTTGTAGAATTATACTAAATGAAAGTGGCAAAATGGGCATCCCTTTTCTTATCCTGATTTTTAAGAGGAAAAGCTTTCACTCTTTCACCACTGAGCATATTCTCTGTGGACTTTGAAAACATGGCCTCCATTAAGTTAAGTTAGTTTCCTTCTATCTCTAGTTTGTTGAGTGTCTTTTTCATGTAAGGGTATTGTATTTTGTCAAAATGCTTTTTCTCATCAGTTGAAATTATCATGTGATTTTCTTCCTTCATTCTACAAACATAATGTATTATAAGATCAATTTTTCTATGCTGAACCTTCCAGGAATAAATCCTTGATCATGGTGTAAAGTCCCCTTGATGTACTACTGAAATCCATTTGCTAAAACAATTGGCCACAGAACAATGCAGGTATTGGATACCAACCCCCTGCACAGTTGGAATCTGTATATCTTTGACTCCCACAAAACTTTATTAATAGCCCAGCTGACTAGAAGCCTTACTGATAACATAAAACCATTGACTAACACATATTTGGTATGTGTACTATATATTCTATTTATATTAAAGTAAGCTAGTAAAAAGAAAAATGTTAAGAAAATTATATGGAAAATGCAGTTACAGTACTGTACTATTTAAAAAACCCATGTATGTGGGCCCACACAGTTCAAGGCCAAATGCATATTTTGTTAAAGATATTTACTTTAGTATTCATTAAGGATATTGATCTGTTGTCTGAAGTCAGGTGGTTGAAGGCTTTTTGGGGTATGGGGGTGGGGAGTAGTTTTTGATTACTGATTCAATTTCCTTATTATAGTGTGGTAGGGTCCCCTGCCTAAGGAGAGAGAAAGGAAAAAAAAAACCCTCAAGGCAACCTGGCTATACGTGTACATGACAATATACCTCATGACCTTGTAATATGAGACCACTTAATCAGACTGCATGTTTGTGTGTTACTATATAAGACAGACAAATAAAAAATGTATTAAAAAAAACTATGCCATGTGGCATTCGGGGCTCATTCTTTGTGTATGAACCCAACTGAGTCATGCTGGCATAAATAAAGTTGCTTCCTGGAAAGAAAAGCCTCAGGGCCACGACTCCCTGTATGAGAATCCTGCTATGATAGGAAATATATAATAATTATTATAGTTACAGGTCTATTCTGAATTTCTACTTCTTCATGGTTCAATCTTGGTAGATTGTGAACATAAATTATTTTACCTGTGGCTCTTTCACGTGTCTAAAGAGGTATCACAAGCTAGTTTCTCCAAATAAAATATAGAGAAAGTTAAAGATGCTCATAGCAGACACAAGGAAAAAAAGTACTATTAAAAAGTATTTTGGGAAAGTAACCATTGGACCTGATAATATCAGGGAGTCAGAAAGTCCTAGTGTTGCATTTCTTTACCATTTTTACTTTTAAATTAGAGAAACAATAATCATATACGATATAGTAAACCAGAAAAGCAAGTTGCAAGAAAATGTATATAATATGAAAAAAATGTGATTTAGCCTATTATTTTTTTCCTTAAAAAAATTGTTTTTAATGTTTATTTTGAGAGAGTGCAAGTGAAGGGGGGAGGGGGAGAGAGGAAGAGAAGGGGAGAGAAGATGGGGGTAGGTGGGATTCAAAGCAGGCTCCAGGCTCTGGTCAGCACAGAGCCCAACAGGGGACCCAAACCCATAAACTGTGAGATCATGACCTAAGCCGAAGTTGGAATCTTAACCAACATAGCCACCTAGGCACCCCAAGCAGATTATTTTCTAAATACATAAATGAATTCATACCTATTTAGCCCTTCACCCACAGGTGGTTTTTGGTTATCATCTAAGTAGACAATCACTTCTTTCCTTCGAATATGCACAATATCATCCAAATTTAGATTTGTCAAATTCACGTCTCCTTCAAAATAGATTGAGCCATAACCTACAAGTCAAAGCAAACAGTTAAAAACGCATCCTGTATAGAAGGCAAATAACCTATTTTATACTTCCAGTGACTAAATAATTAGAAGAAACAAGCAGCTTTAAACGTCAATCAGGATTTTACTTATGTAATTTTCTTAGCAATTTTAAATAATCTCTACATTCAATATGGGGCTCAAACTCACAACCCAGAGAAGAAGAGTCACATGTTCCAATTTGAGCCAGCCAGATGCCACTAAATATTAGTATTTTAAGTCACCTGGTTATACTTTCATTGGGTTATTTTGTCCATAGTACCTATCAGAGGTTGACATCAAATATAGTTATCTAGTTTAACATCTACATTTCTATAGCACTTATCCTCAAAACAGCCTTCTTAAATCACTTTCAAGTATCTGTACTACTGCTACATAAACAACCCTTACTTAGTACCTAGCTTGCAGTATGAGTTAAAATACCTGAGTGTTCTTTTTAAAATATAATATAGCAAGATGAGATTTTTCCCCCCAGAAAAAGTCATCTGTATTAACTTAGTATGAAGTTAAACCTAAATACTACTCATCTTTTATTATTCAACTTTCTCTTAGTATTTCCTTGCTGTCTTATTTTCTTTAATTGTAGATAACTCCAATGAGCCAAATAGTTACCAAAGAATGTTACATAACTGTAAGCTTGTTTTGTTACTTGTGAGCTAAAGTGTCTACCATGAAGGTCCAGATGGGTCCAAATACAGGGGAAAAAATGGATTCAGCTATCAAGAACTTCTTTTACTTAATTACAAAAATAAAGTGAAGATCTTCGGCTTAAACACTATAAACTTCTATATTCACACTCACCTTTACGACCAATAGTGAAGTCAGAGACAATGCACTCTCCTTTTTCATTGGTAATTTTAGCAAGGTCATCCATAGATGGAATAGTATAGTAACCAACCTTAGTGAGAACGATGCCTGTGACAAAAAAAAAAAACAGCAAATACAGTATTAATTGTAACTGCCCTTAGGTAGAGGAATCTTCATAATATTTATGTCACTTTTTCCTTTTTGAAAAATAATCACCTAAAAGTTAAAATAATCAGTAACTACATGATTAAATAAAGAGAAAATATATAGGAATAAAGCATTTTTCCAAATTCATTTTCTAAGAAACACTATGCCTAAGAGAAATTGGTTTTTTGTTTGTTTTTGTTTAAAGATTCCTGGTCAAGTAAGTTTGGGAAATATGCACATGACAGTATGTTACAGGCTCTGAGAACCTGCCAAATAATTAAGTCTATTTAACTTTACTTAATCCAGTGCTTCTCAAGCTAAATTAACCACAGAATCTTCTTTTCATATGGCTTCTATTGGCATACTGTACTATGAAACATAATCAATAACATAAGTTCTGAGAAAGGCTTACTTAAGACCTTTTTCTTTTATTCTACAGATGAAAATTCCAAAACCCAACGTGGAAAGAACCTGCCCTGATTACCAAGTAATTCACTGGTATAGGCAGAGTTGTAACTCCAAAGTCAATACGTGTTATTTCATAGACTGTCTTCCATAAATCTCTTTTATCTTTCAAATTTGCATCCCTAAATAAAGAGCTGAAATCAAGATGAAAAATCTGACATGAGGGGTGCCTGGGTGGCTTAGTCAATTAAGGGTCTGACTCTTGATTTCGGCTCCGGTCATGATCTCACAGTTCATGGGTTTGAGCCCTGCACTGGACCCATGTCCAGTGCTGGGCTCCATGCTGGCAGTGCAGAGGCTGATGAGGATTCTCTCTCTTAAAATAGATTAAAAAAGGGAGAGAAGAGGGAGAGGGAGAGGAAAAAGGAAAAAGGAAAAAGGAAAGGAAAGGAAAGAAAAAGAGAAAAATCCTACATGAGAAAGTCTCAAGAACAAATGGACACTTAAAGGTCTAAATTAGTGTTATTTAAAAACAAAAAAAGAGGTCTAAATTAGTGTTATTTTTACAAGTATTAACTAGGTAGGTTTCTGAAGAACTCAAGAAAACAGAACACTGGTATGCTTGTTGTAATTACCCCATCTCCCATTTATAGGTACAAATTAGGCTAACTTGCTTTGTGAGAGAGAGAATTTGATCAAACTCCATCCTCCAGCAATGCCCACTTGTATACTTAATGTGTTTCTCCACTGGCAATGTTTAGAGAGGTATTAGAGTGTCCTTGGAGATAGAAGTTTAAATTGGGAGGTGACCAACAAGGTCAATGAGAAAACAAAGAGCAATTAAAAAAAAAAACCTAGACTGGGTATTTGAAAAATAAATGTAGTATCATAACGAATTCATGTAGATACACCCACAAATAAATAAAATGTTTCCACAGGGCACCAAGTGACCAGAAAATATGTGTGAAGGCAATAAGATAATTAGATAAAGAAAAATGTTACAGACACTGCAAGATTAAAACAACCCGAATGTTCACTAACAGAGAATGGATAAACCAAATGTGGCATATTTATAGTAGTGGAACATTATTCAACAATAAAAAAGGATGAACTGTTGATATATTGTGGATTAAATCTCATAAAAATTATAGACTCAAAAAGAATATATATAGTATTATTCCATTTATATAATTTAAAGAATAGGCAAAAGTAATCTATGTGACAAAAACCAGACTGTTAGACTTCTGGGGATGGGGACATAAAAAAAAGTTTCCATTATATACATTCAGTATATATATGTCAAAATTCATTGAAATAACTACTTAAGATCTGTGCACTTCACTATATGTAAATTGTATCTGCTAAAAAAAGGGGGGGGAGAGAAAGATGGGGGGAGGAATGTGATTACATTCATCAAAACCCAAATGAGGGGTGCCTGGGTAGCTCAGTTGGTTAAGTGTCCGACTCTTGACTCTGGCTCAGGTCATGATCTTACAGTTTGGGGGTTTGAACCCTGTGTTGAGCTCTGTGCTGACAGCGTGGAGTCTGTTTGGGATTCTCCCTTTCCCTCTCTCTCTCTGCCCCTCTCCTGCCCATGCTCTCACTCTCACAAATAAATAAACATAAAAAAATCTCAACAACCCAAATAAGATGTTAGGTCAATACAGAAAAAAAGGCAAGCTTTAAGTAACCAATCAAGACACTATAATCTTGTAGTTTGCATCATTTCTTTCATAGATCAGTTGGGAAAAAACTAATCAGTTCACTGTTGAGGGGGAAAAAAAGTACAGAACTGAGGTGATAATAAATAACCATAGCAAATTATACCATTTGAATCCCTATAAATTTTAGTCATTATGGTTTATATACTATGCTAATTCAAATCTCAAAACCCTTATGTGATAATTATCACTATTATTTTAATTAAAAAAACTAGTAAGCAATCTGAGTTTATAAAGCTAGGAAGTAGGAGGATAGTTTCTTTGGCTATAAAATTTGGGATCTTTAAACTATGCCAGGATAATTAATGGCATCAATTTAACTACTCCAAAAATATAGAAAGTATGTGAATTAAAAAACAACCAAAGCAGGGGCACCTGGATGGCTTGGTCAATTAAGTGTCTGACTTTCGATTTCAGCTCAGGTCATGATCTCACAGTCCTGAGATCAAGCCCTGTGTTGGGCTCCATGCTGAGTGTGAAGCCTGCCTGGGATTCTCTCTCTCTCTCTGCCCCTCCCCTGCTCATGTGAGTGCACTTTTTCTCTCAAAATAAATACATTAAAAAAAGAATCAACCAAAGTATAAGTGAAAAGGTTTAAATGTTAACTTCTAGAAAATGCAATAAAATTACAAAAAAAAAAAAAAAGAAAAAAA